AATGTTTGAGAGAAAAGACAGCAGCATATCAATACCCCCAGAATAATGGGTGGTGTACCTAGCTTCTGGTCTCACTGACAAAACCTTGAGAGCTTCCTCTAGTTTCTAGCCAGAAAGGAGACAGGCTATGGGGATGTGGGACAAGTTTAGTTCTATTATGATTTATATTTACTGGCAGAGGTTCATTTTTATGACCAATGAAAGGGATTTAGAAAATTGTGAGCCATGTTGTTGGACAAATCAAATGGCTTAGAAACAGTGATTAGTAGTTGAAGAAGTAGTCTGCAATTATTTTTTTGATGTTTCACCAAGTCAGGTTCTGAGATTTACCCTGAAATAGATAAAAAAATGGCAGAACAAGCAAATGATTATTTAGTAGCCCAAAATGAGAGCGAGAGCAGAATGACCTCTAAAGTAGAATATTTGTAGCTCAAGGTTGAATGAGGAGTTCTGGGTGCTCTCTGAGCTTGGTTGTTTTCTTGCATGATGATGCAAGAAATGAAACTATAAATAAAAAAAGAAATAGATTAATATACCAACAGAATGAATTTTAAGGTGAAAATAATTATGTTCTAGAGTGCCCTGAAGTGTGTGAATTTTGAGTGATGCACATGGAAAGTTCTGGGGGAAAAATGCTTGGTGGGACGATGAAAGGTTGTAGATAAGAAAAAAAGTGAGTGTAGTGTGAGAGGATGATTAATAGAAAAAATGATGAGCAAAAGGTATAGTATGTAGTGAAAAAGATAGTTACAAAACTTACAAAGAATATAATTCTTTGGAATACTTAAAATTAAAAGCGTCAAGTAAAATGGGGAATGCTTTTCTGGAAAAAAGGTCTTTGCAATATCTTCTTTTCTTATCTCATGTCTTTTAGTTGGGTTTTTTTTTGTGCTTACCAATTGTTACTCTTTTTCTTCACTTACATAAATTGCTTACCTTCCAAGGGAATTTCATGATGGAGGTATATGTATGTATATTTCTAGCAGTATCATCATTGCTTACAGCTACTTTCCTTGCCCTGAACAAGATGCTCAGGTAGACTGTTACCAGATTTAACCAGTTCTTTTGTAAAGTTTAAAATTAAAATAAAGTGATTCTCAGTGCTGATAAGAGCAGTTTTGCACATCAGTATTTGATTCTTCTAGAAAGTGATGTTCAGCTTATTTTGCATAGAGTTGCCTTCTTTTTGGAGAACTAACTCAGTTCACAGTTTAGGAGTTTTCCTAGGTTCAGCTGGGTTGCTTGAAGCTCAAGATGCACATTTTCTTGCATATGGGACTGTTCTTGGCTTAAGGTTATGGTTAGACATAAGAAAGATTGATTGCTGGGAAAACCTTATGCAGAAGCTGAAAATGCTTCATTGACTTCTGGATAGCACTTAGATCTGTTAAAGCTCAGTTCTCTATATTTATGGACCCTAATAAGTGGCGCAGTGGTTAGAATGAAGCATTGCAGGCTAACTTTGCCCACTGCTTGGAGTTCGATCCTGACGGGCTCAAGGTTCAGCCTTTTATCCTTTTGAGGTTGATAAAATGAGAACCTAGATTATTGGGGGAAATATGCTGACATTATAATCTGCCCAGAGAGTGCTGTAAAGCAGTATGGGGTGGTATATAAGTCTAAGGGCTATTGCGATTTATGGGTTCCTACAAGATTTGTGGCTTAGGTGCTCAGTGGAATATCTGTTTCCAAGTCTGCCTTCCCATTTAGTACAGAGTGTACCAAGGTTTCTCCCTGAGTGCTATGAGAAATAAGGTGAGTAGTAAGTGCTAGAGAGATCTTTTTGGTTATGGCTTCCCTCATCTGTGGAGCTGTCTTCCTGGTGAGATATACAATGTTTTGCTTTCCATGAAAGAAGGCACCCTTAACACTTTTAAAATGCTTTAATTGGTTAAACTAATCCTATTTTCAGCGCCATTTTTAGTAGATGCTATTGTATGTAATTTCCACCAAGATAAGTGATCATTTTACCTGCTAGCAAGGACATGTTATTTCTATAAGCCAAATAGGTCAGCTTCTAAGTAAGGGAATTAAAGGACTTTATAAATTGGAATATAAAAATAGAAACATACCACTGGAGCACTTTTGAGACTCCCTGCCTCTGGCCTCATATTTTGAATATTTAAGAGCATTAGTGTGAGAATTAAAGAATTAGAATGAATGGTGTGTGAGTAGAGTTCATTATCAATTTTACTACTATTTATTTCTTGCACTAAAGAAGCACCATGCAAAATTGACACCCCATGCGGTGTCAGTTATAGTGGTTTATTCTTTGATGTTCTGGTAAATAGAAATCACTGTAAAGAGGACTCCTTGTTCCCAGTGTCCACTTCCCAATCTTTAAATCGTACTTGTTAGCCTACTTTTGCCTTCCAAATACTTCTTTGTGGATAACTTTTTTTACTCTGTGTATACAGTACAGAAGAAAATAGTGTTTTGCATCCTAAAGTCTATGCCACAATTAACCAATTCATTGTCAGCTTCCCAGGCTGATGAAAACACCCTGCTAGACTCTTTGTCGCTTGTTCAGGGGTTATCAGGCAGAAAGATCAAAAATTCCGGATTGAATTTTTCTGGGTCACCTGTCCATATCTCTTCTTTAATCTGAGTCATGTTATTATACTGTGATTTTCCAAAGATGCTAAGAAAAATAAATAAAAAAAAGAAGCTTATTTTCAGAAGAGTACAAAACCTGAGCTCTTTTTTAAGCTGCAGAGTCCATGACCGAGCCACTAACCTTATCTCCTCATAACAGAACGCAGTGCAAGCAGTCTTTGGTATCAGGCCACATGCACTGCAGGTCTTGGCGTGTTCAGGTCTTTTCCCATGTAAGATTGAGAGTATTTTGGCAACGTTTTGACGAGGTCCCTCTTGCCATCTTCAGGCCTCGTCGAAACGTCGCCTTGGGACGTCGCCTTGGGAGGTCACCTTGGGACGTCGTCAAAACGTCGCTAAGATACTCTCAATCTTACACAGGAAAAGACCCGAACATGCCAAGACCTGCATACCTGTATCCATGAAAATCTATGAACATAGTGTGTTCCAGCTTTTTTACTGCATTTTTGTGTTAAACACAAAAATGTTAAACACAAAAATGCAGTAAAAAAGCTGGAACACATTTCCTCACTAGTCCAACACATGAAAGCAACAGGTCATAGCACTGACTTCAATGGCACCAAAACCTTAGCCACTATAGAAAACCCCAGCTACAGAATTATCAGAGAAGCCATAGAGATTGAAAAAAGTCCTGAAAGCATGAATAGAAGAGATGATTCCACCAGACTGTCAATTATTTGGAAGCCTGCACTCACAAAGAAAAAAATCTCCACACCACAAACCAGGCAAACACCTGGGCACAAACAGACTTCCCCTGATACCTCCAGCTCAAACACACCCCAACCAGGCACCCAGATGAAACCTAGCTTCCTAATAAATGATAGCCATCCATTTACTCAGAGCCAAGCCACACTAAAAGCCTCCAATACAGGAAACACAATGTTGCCAGCCAATCAAGACAAAAAAAAGCCACAAAACAGACAGAAGATATTAGAAACACCAATCAAGCAGAACACAGCAAACTCCAAGACTCCCAACCAATCAGGATGAAGAAAAAACCATTCTGGCACAGCAGTAGGCTAGCCCCAAATTTAAAACAGAAATGGCTGTGAAAGTCTGACTCACAGACAAACACAATACAGAAGCCTGATGATGGCAGATGAGATTCTGCCGAAACGTTGCTACAACTTTAAAAGCACAATTATAATGATGTGGGAAAATACCTGAACAAAGCTGAATACTATATATATATATATATGCGAACCTGTGGCACACGTGCCAGAAATGGCATGCAGAGCCATTTCTGCGGGCACGCGAGCCATCGCCCCAGCTCATTTCCACTGTGCATGTGCATGCGCCTTCCACCAGCCAGCTGATTTTTGGGTATGTGTTGCGCATGCATTGGGGTGCATTCAGGAGATGCATGCGCATATACAGGGAGCAGAGGGAGCACGGGGGTCACACGTGCATTGCATTATGGGTGCAGGCACACATGCATGCTCTTGCGCACGCACTTTTGGCATGCGATGACATCACTGCACTAGATTATATGCTCAATACTCCTCCCCCTTGTTAAATAAACTGACTTGAATGTTAAATGAAAAACATGATATAAACATGTATGTTTAGTGACTGTTCAAGGTTACAGTGGCACTGAAAAAAGTGGCTTATGATCGTTTTTCACACTTATGACAGTTGCAGCCTCCCCATGGTCACATGACCGAAATTCAGGTGCTTGCCAACTGATTCATACTTAGGACGGTTGCAGTGTCCCGAGGGTCATGTGATCCCCTTTTGCGACCTTCTGACCAGCAAAGTCAATGGGGAAGCCTGATTCAGTTAAGGACCATGTTGCTAACTTAACTGCAGTGATTCACTTAACGTTTGTGGCAACAAAATGGGGCAAAACTCAACAAATGTCCCACTTAGCAACAACAATTTGGGTTCACTTGGGGTTGTAAGTCAAGGACTACCTGTATTTTTGTTCTTTTTAAAAAAAGATTCTGTCTGCCTGTCTATCTATCTATCTATCTATCTATCTATCTATCTATCTATCTATCATCTATTTACCTATTAAGTATCTATCTATCTATCTATCTATCTATCTATCTATCTATCATCTATCTATCTATCTATCTATCTATCTATCTATCTATCCATCAATCCATCCATCTATCTATCCATCTATCTATCTATCTACTATCTATCTATCTATCTATCTATCTATCTATCTATCTATCTATCTATCCATCCATCCATCTATCTATCCATCTATCTATCTATCTACCATCTACCATCTATCTATCTATCTATCTATCTATCTATCTATCTATCTATCTATCTATCTATCTATCTATCATCTGTCTGTCTGTCTGTCATCTATCTATCTATCATCTACCTATCTATTATCTATTCTCTTATTTTTGTTTCCTTTTGACCTTCAGGACTAGCTCCAGGGCAGCTCTATACATATCCTGCTCGATGCTGGCGCAAGAAGAGACGTTTGCATCCCCCTGAGGACTCCAGGCTGAAGTTGCTGGAGATTAAACCTGGTAAGTGCTCTCTTCCTGCTCATTTCTTGTCCTTCCCCATGCTTGCCTTTGCCCACCGGTGAGTCTTATCTATCCATCCTTGAATCGGAAGAAAACTATATTAGCATGAAATGGGCTGTCCTCATTACTGATCTCTTCTGTTGCCTCTCTTTTAAGTCACATGAATTTCCTCCAGGGTTAGAAGGTGACAGTACACTTGGACCAGGTAGAATAAGGAGGAATATAGCAATTTAACATCGCTTCATCGAAGCATGATTGAGTGCTGTCTCATTCGTGGACAAGGCAGGGGAAAAAAACTGTTTCCAGGACCCTTCCTTTTCCTTTGAAAAATGCCTTTTCCTTTGAAAAAAGGCCTTAAGTTACTGTTGGAGTAGACTAGAGCGTCAGCTACTGCCACTGAAGAAAAATCTACATTGCAAACTTCAGTGTAATTTCTGCTTCTCTTCCAGCTTTATCTGTCTTTTGTTGTGCTGACAATGTGCAATAGAATTTAAAAAGTCCATTCCAAGTTAAGATACAGATGTGGAAACTACATAGGTATGTGAGGGCTTCGTGTTCTTCTATCATTTAAGAACCTGATGTTTCGAATGGAAGTAACTCTCTTAGGTATTATACAAGGCTGTCTTAACGCATGGGCCTGATACGCACTTGCCCGTGGGCCCCACGAGCATAGGGGCCCCATACTAATATGTGTATGTTAACCTTTCAATGCACCTTGTATCAGATAAATACAGCAACGTATTTATTACATTTTACAGCATTTTAAAATTAATACTAACATGCAAATATATGTTTAATTTTATTGACCATTTACATTTTTATTCCTGTGAGTAGTTGTCATATGGGCCCCAGTACACTGCTTTGCCTGGGGCCCATAGTGCTGCTAAGATGGCCTTGAAAGCATTACTGTGGTGGGTTCAATAACTCCTTCTAAGGGCATTGCTACTTGGTGCTCTTTTCACTCCAAACCATTTTGAAGTTAGCTATGCAGTTACTTTCACTGCTACAGACCTCAGAAGGCAGAGAGCAGGAAGGGAACA